CGCGCTGCATAATTTCACTCGGGCGTTTATGTGAGTCCGCTAAACTGGGTCACACCGGATTCGCTTATCGCCTCAAGTATGTTTTAAATCCAAAAGCCAAGAAAACTCGCTTCGGAAATTTTTTTAGGTCTAAATCACGGAGCTAAACAAGCTCGTAACACCAGGGGTGTTATACATAGATCCTCCATTCATACCTAAAAAGTTGCTAGACAATCAGATTCTTACACAGGAGAAAGCTATAAATGAATGGCAGTCACCATTCACATGGGCAATGAATGGAGCTTACCAGCCAAGAAAAAGGCACAAGCTACTAAGATCAAACCTGAAAAGATCGTGGATTATAAGCTGGAACAATATTTATCTCTCACACCAAACCAGCCAGCGGTAAATAATCCACGATCGTTTACGACGAAACGAACAGGCTGACGGATGTTAACCGCAGAAATAGCAAAATGTCCGGTTGCTACCATAAATATTTTAGTTCACAACTACCAATCCTAAATATATAGACTGTTGCTACCATAAAAAGAACCTTTTTCATATCACTACACAAGATATGCACTCACAAAAAAAACTTCCTCATCAATGCACTGCATGCATTCTAATGCTAGTGTACTTGTTTAACATGCCATCACCAGCCTATATATTAAAAATACCTGCTGGTATTATTTGCTTATTTTCAAAGCCAGCCCAGTGTAGATCAGAAGGAGAATATTGGCAGACTGGGTTTCTTTAAAATCACCTATAGAAGTAAGTGTTCTCTTTGATCAGAAGGAGATATATTGGCAGACTGGGATTTCTTGAAAATTTTTTACCTACATCACCTATATGTAATGGAGAGATGCAAGATGGCATCTAAACAAGGCCTATAATAATATATAGATGCTTCAGCTACCTACTTACTCATGATGTTCTCAGTTGGCAGCAGTGGTGCTCTAACTCTACAGCCACAGGCTAGCTTCCATCTTAAGCTTGCTGGCACTAATTTCAACCTTGATACTATCTGCAGATACAGGCTTCTTGGTCTCAGGTGTCAAATTCCCTTTAGCAACTTCCTTTGATCCTAGAGGCTTATCCAAAATTGGGCCAAATGTTAGAAGAGTGTCTTCCAGAAAATCACATCAGAAGGGAAAAAAGGGACAATACAGTGTAAGGTTTGAGATGCAGAACTACCAAACATATGCATCGCATCTAAAAACATCGTCCTACATACCAATAGATCACTTGTGAATCATTTTTATTAGCTTCATTTTCATTACAGATTGTACAAGGTTTGATACAGAGAACTACAAACACATATGCAATGGATCTGAGGAGATGGTCTTACATATCAATACATCACTTGCATATCATTCTTATTTGCTTCATGGAACCTAGAGATTTATAGACGAATCCAGCAATGCAACTACTTTTGAACCAAAACTGAAATCAAAACAATACAATGAGCCCATCGCCAGGACTGACCTTGGAATCTGTAGGTTTCAAGTCCTACTATCAAATCAGATAAAAAAAGAAGGAACCTATAGCAACTAAAAGAATGAACTTGAGGGCGCCGTCAAGCTGGAGGGCGGTATGTGCTGCGCAGCCCTCAGATCCAGGATTTTATCAAAGGGTATGCCACGCCAAAATTTTCACATACATTTTGGTAAAAAATCATTTATCAACTCAAAATATAATTGTAAAATATATGACTCAATTTGATATATAAGCAATAAAAATATGAAAATTATTCAATTTAAAGAGTAAGCTGTAAAATTGCATGAACTACAATGTAAATTGTAACCGCCCACATATGGCCCAACCTTTTTTTCTTCCCGTTACAACGCACGGGCATGTTTGCTAGTTAAAGATTAAGTTGTAAAATTGCATGAACTACAATTAAATTGTATGCCCTAAAAAAGATAAATGTAAACTGTAAACACATGTCAAACATATATGAATGTGCGATGTAAAGAAAAAAATATAAACATGATGAAAAGAAACGTATGCAAACTAAATGCTAACTAAGATCTATCACAAGCAGAAATAAAAGATAAGAGAATATCTATATGAGTACTATGTTAAAATAATACTAGCATACAGACTAAATGCTAACTAATTCTGGTTGCAGGATACTTTGATCTCAACTGACAGCAAGGAACGGTAGTCAAGATCTAAAGGAGAAGGACAAAGGACGGTGCAGATGGAGAAGCTTGCCGGTCACTGCGACATGGAGCTCATGAAGATGGCCATGTTCAGACCCGAAGAGACCTTCAGGCAGCAGGAACCACACCACTCGAACGCAAGACACCTGAATTCAGGAATCTAGCTGCCATTCTTCTACGCAACAGATCAATGAGTTGCGTCGACTGTACCACATCTAGAAGCACTAGAAGCAGCTGGTGGGCGGCCTGTCTACAGTGGCGGAGCTCGTCAATTTTGATGCCTAGGGCCACTGTCAATTGACGAGCTCTGTCACTGACTGTCAAAGCATATATATACCGTCCACGCCGGGTTAAAATACCGCCCGCAACGGGACTAATAACAATAAATAACAAAACAAAGCTCATAGATGCATAAGTTTAAATGATATCTCGATTTCATATTTAAATACATGATATAATTGATGGAACATGAAAGTGGTTAAAAAATTACCTAACTAATTATGGTTTGGTTCACCCTCGCCTCTCATATCTTCATCAAGAGCTTCATATGGACCTGAATCTACACATGGATTTGTGTTTAAGAACATTAGCAATGTAGTCCATAAATATAATTGACCACTTGCTCTAGTTTGAGACGGGGGGATTATTTTGCAAACCATTTGCATTGCTAGGTACTTCTTCTGCTGTTTCTGGTTCTTCAACAACCTGTGGTTCTTCTACTACTTCTGATTGTGGTTGTGCAGATGGTTGTGTTTGTGGCGCTGGTTGTATAATTGGCATAGGAGCAGGATTGTCCTGCTCCTCTTCATTGTGCAACTTACTTGAGTACTACAACTACAAAAATTGAAAGAGTTCAACTTTAATTTAGAAATCGGACCCTTAGAAGTGAGAATGGTTAAATGGGAAAGGGGAATTAGTATTACCAGGAGCTGGGGCCCTGGGAAGCAGACTGACGCAGGGCGCGGGTCGCCGGGCGTCAGTGGGGGCGTGAGGCGCCGCCGCCCGTGCGCAGCTTAGGGCGCCTCGGCGCAGCCGCGCAGGGGTGGCCGCTGGCCGACGGAGGAGCGGAGCGACGGAGGCGCAGAGTCGCCTAGGGTTGGCCGCAACACTACGACAGCGAGGAGAAGCAGGGAGTCGAGAACGGGCGCGGTGCGGCGTGGCGCTCGCGAGGCTAGGCTGGCGCTCGCTGCCTTCTTGGCTCCTTCCCCTCTCTTTGCTGGGCCAGAAGTGCAAGAAATTTGGCCCAACGCCTAGGGCAGGCCGAAAAACTACTGGTACTCTAATGTTTTTTTTGCCCACGCCTAGGGCCGTGGCCCTAGTGGCCCCAGGCCCATATCCGCCCCTGCCTGTCTAGGCCGTCATCGGAGGCTCGGAGCTCAGCTGTCGGCATCAGGTCGGCCGTATGCAGGTGAATGTGTAGGCGCCAGTCGTTTCATGCCCACGATAGACTAGATGAGTTCCTCTATACTATACACATGGGTGGATTGCAGGGTACCTGTAGATCCGCCACTAGCCACCGACCGCTTGAGCAGGACCCACCGTAGGAGCTGCTGCTGACCGCACAGGAGACACCGCCCACCGTGCAGGAGCCGCTGTCCGCCCGCGCAAGAGACGCCGCCCAGCCACCGACCGCTCAGGAATCACCGCCCGCCCGCGCAGGAGCCGCCGCAGGAGACTCGATTTGGGAGGAAGACGGGGAGGGGGCAACTTGATAGGGTTGCTCGACTGGGCACCAGGCGTGTGGATGGTTAAAAGGCCAGTGTTGGGCTTTTGTTTACAGGCCAAAATCTAGCGCTGGAAGTTTGGTGCCTTCGATGCGCGGCAAAGGGAAAAAATTTCTTGACGGCGGGCACTCAAGGAAATCAGTGCTTCCTTGAGTGTTTCCAAATACACTCAAGCAAATACATATTTTTCTTGAGTGTGTGAAATAACACTTAAGAAATATACATTTCCTTGGTGGTTTTTAGCCACCGCCAAGGTAATACATATTCCTTGAGGGCTCAATCTCGCCCCTCAAGGAAATTGATGACCCTCAAAGGTATTCCATTTTGTGGTAGTTTATGACTCGTCTTTCATCTTTCTTGAACGCCTAATAGTTGCACACAATTGCCACATATTTAAGTTGATTGAGTCAATATATAGTCAAATTCCCATATTTGATTAATATACTTTATTACACTAGCATTTACTATGTGCTTTAGAATTTATTTAATTTAAGGGTGGACCAAACTTAATTAAATCTAACTAAAATTGCTAGCTCATTACCATTAGCAGGAGCGCAACAACAAATCATATATCCCGTCGAAACACATGGGTGTGTTTGCTACTCCCTCCATCCAAAATTATAAGATATTTTGGCTTTTCTAGATATATAAATTTTCTATGCACTTAGATTATGTTTCAACACATAGATATGCTTGTTTTTAGATCACACGATATATTTGCTAGTATTACTTAAAATACCCCCTCCATCCCAAAAAAATATAATCCTGGGTTTCAAATCTTGTCTCAAAAAGAATATAAATGTAGACTTGAAATCAACTTTTCCAATAAAACCCACCTATTAAAAATACCACTACATGTCTAAAAACTATCATATTCTATTCATCCATGAGAAGAACATTCCGGAATATAACCTTTGTTTTTTAGTTTTTAGAATGATAGAGTAGGGGTAAATATATAATTTGACACTACACTAATCTTAGCTTGAAAATTGAGATTTACATTCTTTATGTGATAGAGGCAGTAATCGTTACTAAGGCTCGAAGGTATACAGACTAGAACTGTTTCGGGACTTTTGACATTTGGGCCTAGCTGGGCTTATGTCTAGCCCAGCACGACGCCTGGGCCAGTATAATGCTGTTCAAAAGCCCAACACGAGGCCCGGCCCGGAACCACCCAGACGCTGACACCGTCGTCGTCGTCGTCCCCACGCAGCCGGTCCGCCTCCCGCTCACGGCGGCACCTCGTATGCGCCGTCCTCCGCTCCGCCGCCCACCTCCCTCCTCCTCGTACTGGTCTGCAGAGAACTGGAGATCCATCCATCCGGGCTCTGCATTGATTTCTTCTGTTGGTAAGGAAACCTAATCTGCTCCGACTCTAAGAGGAGTGAGTTCTGAGCAATTATATCGAAATCTTCCTTCCTCTCCTCCGCTAGTCCATTCATCAGTGGTCCGTTTACCTTCCTGAGTGGTTCCGTCTTAATCTAATGCACCCATGTATGGTTCGGTCCAATTGATTTCTTCTTCGTCTTTTTTTCTCCTTTTGATGAACTTCTTCATTAGCGCGCTCAAGATCGACCTCAGTCGATGCCGTAGGAATTGGGACACAACAAGGTGCGGGGTGAGAAGTTTGTTTTCCAAGAGATCCGGTTCAACTGGACGCCGCCCTGCAGTAACTCTGTGCCTATTCCGTCACAACCGCTGCAATGCTTTGGGTGATCATGGCATTCGCTGATTCCTTGCGCATTGTGTATTTGTGGTGTTCAGCTCAAAATGAAAGGAGTACTTCAGATTAAGGGGGCATCAGGGCGTGAAAAGAAGGCTCCTAAGGAGCTCGAGAGCGTCTTGAACCGATATTTCGGATATTCAGGATTTCGAGGAAAACAACTGGGAGCTATAGAAGCTGTTCTATCAGGTCTGCTCGCAAACTGTGCTTGTGTGTTCTTATATTTATATATATTGGCTAGACTTGAGTTGCTGAGATGTTTTCAACGTTGTTGGTTTTGTTTAATATGTTAAACAATTTATCGGCAGGAAGAGATTGCTTTTGTTTGATGCCAACTGGTGGTGGAAAGTCGATGTGCTATCAGATTCCAGCTCTGGTGAAGACAGGCATTGTTCTTGTCATTTCACCCTTGATAGGTGAACTGATCCGTATATTTTCCATAATGCTATAGCGTTTATTACTTGGAAATTTATACTAACAGATCCTTGATTTGATTGAAAAATCTGCTAACCAGCACTGATGGTAAGATTTATTAGCCATTGATCTCATTTTCCTGTTATTCTTCATATCTCATGGAACATCATGTGCTCAGCATATGAAATTTACAGGAGAACCAGGTTGCCAGCTTGAAAAATAAAGGTATCCCAGCTGAATTTCTCTCTTCAACACAGGCATCTCACACTAAACAAAGGGTATGGTCCCCACACGGTACAAAGTAATGCTCTTCTGGGATAGCTCAATTGATGTGCAAATTTTGGACCCTCCTGTAATCATTCACATCATAACCTCTAACTTGTACACGGCTGATACTCTGAGATTTGGAATTTTTACTTTTGTTTCTGAACTGGGCACTGTCTCTGGTAGCAAAATATGAACAGCTGTTGCATAGCTCTTCTTTTTGGAATTTACAATTTTATTGTATGCATGCTTTCTCTCCTCAGATACATGAAGACCTTGATACTGGTAATCCTTCTTTAAAGTTGCTATATGTCACTCCTGAGCTTGTTGCAACGTCAGGCTTTACAGCAAAGCTAAAGAAGCTCTACAACAGAGGTCTTCTTGGTCTTGTTGCTATTGATGAGGTCTGAATTAAGCAATGCCTTAACACTTTGTTATTCTTTGATCAGTTATAAATGGCATTTGTTGCTTATTTCTGTTACTTATTTCGTACAGGCTCACTGTATTTCGACTTGGGGCCACGATTTCAGGTATGCAGTGATTTGTATGTGTTTTATGAATACTTACAGTCAATCTTAAAATTAGTGAAGTGCTGTTTTCATGAACGCAGACCTAGTTACCGCAAGCTTTCATCATTGAGGAAGCAGTTCCCAGATATCCCTTTGTTAGCTTTAACTGCAACTGCTGTCCCGAAGTAATGCAACCTGCCAACCTCATCTTTTATCTCTTTACTTTTTCCTCTCAATATTATCATGGTCTCATTTGCTCATTCTTTTCCTACGCCAGGGTCCAGAAAGATGTGATATCATCACTGTGCTTGCAAAATCCAGTAATTCTTAGAGCTTCATTTAATCGACCCAATATATTCTATGAAGGTAACCTTTTGATTTTATTGATCATTTATTTGCCTAGCGGTGCAAGAACTTGTCAACATGTCAACATGAAGGTAGCACTTAGCATCAAGACCCTATCCTTTAGTATTCCACATAAGAAATCCGTTATAGAAACTAATTCAATTGTTGTTCCCGTATAGATTAGGGTGCATTATTTTCTTAATTTCGACACTGTTATATATTTACTTTCTATAGGTCTTCAAATAATCATTGATTCATTGTCGATTAAAATATTCATCTGCCTCTATGTTCTGTTCTCCCTTAATGTATGAATTGTGTTATGAACTAATTGCAGTTCGTTACAAGGATCTTCTTGATGATGTTTACTCTGATATATCAAATTTACTGAAGTCAAGCGGAAATGTTTGCTCAATTATATATTGTCTTGAACGGGCAGCTTGTGATGATCTAAGCATGCATTTGTCACAGCAGGGTGTCTCTTCTGCTGGTATGCCGATTAAAGTCATAATTAGCGGTTAATGACTTCAAGTTGTAGCGAGATTGTTGCACTGGAATTCTTCTGATGTTTCTATGTGCATCTCCTTAATAGCTTATCATGCTGGCCTAAATAGCAAAGTGCGAAGTTCTATTCTCGATGACTGGCTTTCATCGAGAACTCAAGTCGTTGTTGCAACTGTAGCCTTTGGGTATTGCTTCTCTTCAGTTCTTTTTACGCCATTTCAGTCATTTGTATGCTGGTTCCTTGTTCACAAGTTTCAATTCTTAGAACTAATGTTTATAAACATCTTATGGAGTGGAATCTCAAGACCTAAGTGACATATGGGGTGGTTTTGCATTTCTTCCATTGATGAAATACTAGTTTTCTATTTGAAAAAACCCTCCCCCTTGTTAGATCTTTCATAACTTAATTACTAATTCTAATTTCAAATGGTGACTATTACAGTGTGGTGGTCTTGCTGACAAGAAAAGCATCTCTCAGACGCTAAGAGATGCATGCCGGAAAATATTGTTGGATGCTCTTGGACAAGCAAAGCTGCGACTTGGGAATATTCCGTAAGTCTGCTTCCAGTTTGGCACTGTTTGAAAGTGTGGTTTTGACCATTACTCACTTTGCCCAAACTGCTAATTAAAGCATGAGATACATTGTGTTCTGAACTTGTTTTTTCTCATGCACTGTATGACTTCAAGAAAACCCTCGATTTTTACATACTTGTTTGTTGTTCCATGACTTGGCATGCTGTCAGGTGCGAAAATGAGGCTTCTGCTACACACCTTGAAACAGAGTGCTTCAAAAAATATGAGAAAGTGGGCAAGACGTTCTACAACTCACAGATAGCCGCCACAGTTCGGTGGCTGTCATCCGCAACATCCAGTCAGATGCACGACCGCCTCCATGCTCTTATCGACCAAACTAAAGATGATGGTGCGCCAGGCTCCCCCAACATTGTCCCAGAGTCACCTCCAGCATCTCCTGAAATCGTTGGCGCAAGGCCAGGAGAAACCAGTAACTATGAAGCTGACGACAAACCGCAGCATATTCGTGAGTTGGAAAAGAGGAATCATTCCAATGAGTCTGCAAAGGGTGCTGCGGCATCGACTGGGAACATGGAGCTCCCCGCGATACCAACTGGGAACATGGCGCTCCCCCCGATACCAACGTTCAGAGAATTCTTGAGCCAAAAAGGAAGGGATCGGGCAAAGAGCTATTCAAGTTCTAATGCGGCGAACCAGCCTTCTGGTATTCGTAGGAAGTCTAGTGGTCAGGTTGATAAGGAAGAAACCAGCAAGAGGATGAAATCGTGAATGTCTGTCGGGCAACTTGATTTTTTTTTGGGTCTTTTCATCACTGATCAAACATTGCAAATTTACGTTGTAGTAAAGCATTCCTGAATTCTCATGATGATTTTCCTTATCTAGTTTGTACAGTGAAAAGGGTGTTCTTAGCTTCTCGTACGGATTAAATGCATCAAGAAACAGGGCACAATAGAGTTGCGGTAAACAGTGGTAAATTTAAGTAAGTTAAATACACATGTCGGCCCTAGCATCCTATTTGATCAGCTCTTACAACGGTCAACTACACCGGACTATCTGTATCAAACTTCTGTATCGAACTATGTAGTGTTAAGCCTATCACCCATAGGATCCGAGGAATCCTTCTCAAGCTCAGCGATCAGCTGCTCAATGTTTCTTCTGTATATAGGCATGTAATGATCATTGATCATCATCTTCGAAAGCCTCAGCTTGCCGTACAGAGATCTTGGCGTCAAGAAGATCCCCATGCTGCTATGTGACTCCCCATTCGTCGCATCATCCTGATGAACATCGGGCTCCTCTTCATGGATTGCTTCTTCCCTGCTGGAGGTTAATATATGCATGATCTTTCCAGGAGGGTAGAACCTATGCACTTCCTTGGTCTCACTGAGCACATCTTCAGCCACGCCACCCACCTCCTCAGCAATTGTACTTTCAGTCATATCTTCCACTATGTCATCATCTTCTCCTTCCCTCTTCCGGTACAACTCACTTTCAAGTTGCTGCCACAGCTCCACATCAGTCATCCTGTCCTCGTCATGGTGATCGCCGATGTCATCATCGTTATCTACCTTGTCATCTACCAAGCCAATAGCATCGACCGCCACAGCAACGGAACTCTGAACCTCTTCTGGTACAGCTTCTGATGTAACTGCCTCTGAGGTTTCTACGGTTGTTTCAGTCAACAGCGAAGTGGATTCGGATCCACCGCTTGTAGATGCTCTTATTTCCTCTGATGTGACAGTTGAAGTAGATGAAACATTATTTCGCCGTCTTGGCCCAATACAAGCCCATGAAGATAGTTGCAGTCCAGGTCTTGTCCATGCTGCCTGCGCTACACTGCGAGCTCTCCTCATTACAACCTGGCCATAAGAATATTATCACTGGAGGTCAAAGACAGTGCACATGTTTCAAACTAGAAGACAACTAAGCTTCCTGAAGATGGTGTAACATATGAAGCTTTGGAGGTAACCTGTGTCCCGGTAGATACAGGTCTTAAGATAGCGCCAGCACCAGCTACTCTTGCTTTAGCATTCGCCATAGAAGGAAGTCGCGATCCCAAGGCTGATGCTGAACGATAAAAAGTGCTTAGGATTCTGGTTTGTTCAATTTGGTGACAGAGATCATTTAGCCAAGCAGATGCTGTAACCTGTTATGAAGGATATTGTCATCATCTCATGGTCTACAGAAGAAGTACAGTCAATGCATGTGTGCTATTAAATTTCTATCTAGAAAAGAAAACCTATATTATCATGCAGGATTAACAAAGTCAGGGATATCAGTAACAAACCTCTGAACGAAGATCATCTACTGATGCAGCAGAAAATGTTGGAACTAAATCAGCTCCGTTGATGACTGTAGTGATAAAACGCACACCTGACTCTGCCAGTTCCCATGTCATACATGCAGCTGCAAAACAGAGCATCGTCTAAGAAACACATATATTCCTTAATATCTCTACATAGTTAAATGGAATTTAAGTTTATCCAATATTCTAGTATGGTAAAAATATTAAATTTAGGATACATAACTTATAACAGTTCCAATCATAATATCAGCTAAGGACTTATCTACAACATACTTCTAACATTTGGATTTTTATCAATAGAGTTACAGCACCAATCACAAGTTCAGAAGCAGTCTGTACTATCTACTATACCAACCTGCTGCTGTGAGTATGAAAACATGACACAAGCAAGCAAGTATATATGGTAACAAAAATGAGAAAATGCCAATTAAAATTAGAAAGAATGCACAGATCATTTTCATGATTGATTGAGAAATTAATGTTCTAAAAGAGAAAAAACAAACATAGCATGCAAACCTGGAGCAAATGCCACACAAGTAGTAGAGGTAAACTCCTTCTGCTCCCTCAGGATGTATGTCAACAGAGCAGCTGTACCACCCCCCAGTGAATGTCCAACAACCTACATAGATTTGCCAATTGCCATGAACACCCATAGATTGCAACACTTTGAAAGAGACAAGTAAACATACTAACATAGTTATGATGCATTAAGTCCTAAATAGGTTATGCTGTAGTGATGCTCGTACTCTAGCATCAGTCAGAGAATAAAGAAGAGCTACGAAATAACTAATACCTTTATTTTGAAGTCTGGGTACATGTGCAATGCTTGTGCCAGACAAGGCCCTGAGAGCTTCGCAATCCACCTAGCAGCTGCAACCATCCCAAAATGAGCATATCCTAGTACTAAGTCGCTAACACCACCTTCCTGTACAATTGTATGGTGAAATGGAACCACAGCACCAGTGGCAGCTGTTAATGTATCTCTGATGCTATGAGTTCCCCTAATTAATAGAAGTATGGACTTTTTGTCTCTATCAAGCAAAATGGTGAAAGCTGGCTTCAAAATCTGCAAGGAAGCCACAGAAATTCCTGGATCAACGCAAGTAGACCGTGTTCTTGTGCATAACTATTGGAATACAATGTCTGCAACAGAATGGCCATAAGAAAACAACAGATAGTTTTCACTCACTCCTGCTTTAGGTTCTTGCATAAGAACATCCTCCGCAGAGTAGCCAGTCACCTCCAAAAACAACGGGAATGGCTTTTTGGAGAAATGCCAGCAAAGTGTCAGCAAATTGAGAAGATACTTTAAGTCAGAAATTACTTCAGCTCCTTTGAGCTCCACACTATCATTTCCAGCGTATATGCTTGCTACAGATAGGTTTCCCTGGAACACATTTCAGAAGCAGAGCTATCAGAAACTTTGTAGGAGTATTGGCAATCACAATGCAATCTGTATTTTCAGTTCATCAAATAACAGAACTAATCAAATTTCACAATAGACAGCTCTGTCCTGGTTATGTATTGTCATAGAGGAAGGCTTTAAAGGATGACATAGGCAAAATAGGAGTGAAATGCCAAGCTTCAATGTACAGCACTCCACATTGGTTTTCAACCTCCAAGAACCAGAACAAGATCAAATGAAACAAAACTACCAACAAAGTGTGAGCCACCAACCTGTCTCTTGAGGAGGAAACTGATGCCGAAAGCCAGGTCACCGATCGGCCACTTCCCAAGGGTCTCTGAATACGTGAACCGCAGCGTCTCTGACAGCGTCGAGATAGTCTCAAGCCAGGTGGCAGGGGCACGGACGTCCCTCCGCGACACCCGGCTCCTGCTGGGAGAACCTGGCGCGGCCCTGGGCGCCACATCCCTGCTGTTGCTGCACTCCCCTTCCTGATTCAGCCTCTCTGTCTGCAGGCGGCGGTTCAGCGTGTAGTAAAGCAGTGCCGCGGCACCCGCTGCGGTTGCCATTGTCGCTGTCGCCATATCGTGGGGCGCAGGCTGTAGGGGCTTCGTCAGTTGCAATGTACCCCTCCCGGGCAGTTCAAACCCAAAGGTGAAAGGTTATTAATGGCGCAGTCAGACAGCGTTATTTAACCCCCCGAGGCTTCCACTGGCGATGCGATCTTGATCCTTGGGGGCAGTACAAAGTCAAACCTGGCACCACAGACAGAAAAACCGAGTTTTTATTCCGGGAAGGCCATCGATTGGGTGGCACTGATCACCGATTGGATTGGGTGGAATGAACAGTTGAAGCATCCCCACCACATCCAATTGAACAGTAGTACACTAGAGTGATTCACACAAACCACTAATAACAGGTCCAAGTCCAACACAGGTGAACTAAGAAGAAACCGGACGGACACGGGAAAAAAAAAGTACCGAGAATGAAAACAAGAAAATCATCCAGGGAGAGATGTTCGATTGGCGACGTTACCTCGACTGCTCAACAAACGCGCGCGGCAGCGGTCGATCGGATTGGCCTGGGAGGCCGAACCCGCTAGGGTTTTGGGAGGGGAGCGGGAGTCCGGAGGCGCCTACCAACCGGTGCGGATTTTGCGGGAGGGAAAGGGAGAGGGAGAGGGAGAGGGAGAGGGAGAGAGAAATAAGGAGACGGGGCAGGAAGCAGGAGATGGTGGCCAAATTCGCGTCGAATCTTGCGGGGCGGCGACGGCGGATGGGGAGGGGAAGAAGGGCTTCCGTCCCGCCGGACGAGGCGCGTTTCCTTTTGCCCTTTCCGGGAAGAAGCGGTTGCGCTAGGGGAGCTGCGGTGGGTTTTCTTTGCGGTGCGGCAGGGCAAAGCAGCCAGAGACAACCCAACGCGCAACACACGGTGGGTGGCCGACCCAGTACGCGAGCCGCGTTTGAAGGTCCGGACGTCGGGTTGCTTCGAGGCAAGGCCAAAAGCCCACGGGCGTTCCAAGGGGTTTGTCGATAGAGCAGGCGTGCCAGTTTGGACCCACAGGTCTACTTCCATGTCAAACGTGCTCCTCTCAATTTACAGCATGTTTAGTTGGTTTGTGCTTATCGTAAATAATCGTAAATTTTTAATCGAAATAATATTTTTCTCTCATATCAAATCAGCCAGCAGTACTTCTTCATGAACCAGCAACGAATAAGCCCAGCCAAACGAACAGGCTGTTAGTTTCTGAATTTAAGGTCTTGTTTAAATTTGGGATCTAAAATTTTAGATACCACATCGGTTGTCATACGAAGGTAAAAAAACAAATTACAGAATCCACCAGTAATCCGCGAGATAAATTTATTAAGTCTTAATTAAATCCGTCATTAGCACGGGTGACAAACTGTGTAATTAATTATTATTTTACACTACAAGAAAATCCAACATCAACGACCAGAACCTAACAACCACGTACAATATGTGGTCGTCGGATGCCATTAGCTGACTTTTCATTGCCTTTAGATGCTTCTCGACGACCACAATTGTGTTGGTCATTGTCCAGTTTTATAATGTGGTCGCTATCTCTATTTTCCTCGATGGAGTCGTTCGAGTTCCGGAATTTCTCCGCGATACTTTTTCGCATTTTTTATTACTGCCCGCGCTGCCACCATTTTTCCCGCTATTTTGTTCACGGAGTCGAGTTCCTGCGGAGGAGATGAAATAATAAAAATATAAAACACGTAGAAACGAAGCTTAACAAGGGATCTAACATGTTACCCGATGAATACTGATCGGTGACTCAACCACTAGGCAACAGCTCACGTTTCATTCAAAGGAAGGAAATATATTATTTTGTAAATCAAATTTAGAAGAATATTAAGTTGAATAAAAGCTTCATCTAGTAGTTCCATAAGAATGGAGCAAATCTAAATCAGCTACTCCATTCGATTTCAAATATTTATCTATCCATCCAAAAAAAGTGGCCTTATAGAAAATGACCCCTCTATGTTAAATGTAAATTTTGCTCAGGAACACTGCTCATACATGGTATTTGATGAACACACCGTCAACTCGTAAATTTGCTGAACCATATGAATTTGTGTTTCTTTGCCACTGGATACCTTATCTATTAAAATATTTTAATTTTGCGTTCTGGGAGAGAGAAAGATGGGTGAATAAAATATTTTATGTGCATATATTTTGTTATATTACGAAAAATTTCCCCTCATATATATTTTGGTCTGCCGTATTTGATAGTATGCACTTCTTTTTTGGCGCTAAAATAACGTGGGATGCTGATCCATTCTGTTTTGGCACTAAAAAATGCGGAATTATCTATTCACTTTTGGCGCAAACTTCATTTTTCTGCAGGTACATAAATGAGAAGTCTCGTATCTATCTAACCTTTGACCACCGCTGAGCTGTCCAGAGCCTAGCGATCCGCAAGGATGGTTTCTACAGCGGCGCGGATCATAGAGCCGCCGCCTCACCGGCCCCTCCTGCGGCGGCCGTCGTCTCGCTACCCTTCTATCCCTGCGCCTCATGACGCAGCAGTCCACCGCTTCCCTGCACCTCCTCCCGCCGTCATCTCCTCCGGGCGCGGATCTTAGAGCCACCGCCTCACCGGCCCTTCCTGCGGCGGCCGTCCTCGCCGCCCTTGGGAACGTCCAACGGTCCCCGGAGGAGTGCTTCTCTACTCGTACTGCAGTGGCCTCCCCATCGTTGTCCACTGGAGCCTCCTGTGGGTCAGTCAGCTTCAATTTCCATCTCCCTAATCCTATTTCTTTGCATTGATATGATACAAAACCCTGCACCTGAGGATCTGATGCCCCTTTGTTCACTTGAAATTAGCTTTACCGATCTGATATTGTGTAAACAACTGAACGTGTAGCAGTTGTAGATACAAATTAATTTCATAATTTTGCAATGCAGATGATAGATATCTCTGTTATAGTATGTTGATAACCATCTTGTTACAGAGATCCAAAATTACACGTTTTGCTTGATTATAGTTCTTTTCTTTTAAGCTGCAGTTGTGTAGAGAGAAGGTTGTTCTGGACATTGCATCCTGTGGTCCTAAACAAGGCAGTATGTATCCTCTCTTCATTACCTAATTCATTGTTCTGCAAGTGTTTTTTGCCTTTTGTTAAGCTTTGACAGTGATGTAGGCTTAATTGATCTAAACAAAGATGATAGATCGACTCTGTTTTGACTCCGTATCTATTCATATTTGCATTTGTTTATTACTTACTTTTGTTGTATCAATCTAAGATCATCTAAACAAGCGTACATTTTGATTCCAGGATTCTAACTGAGGCATTTGTGTCAAAAAGTCATGGATGCAGGGATTGTAATTGAGGGCAAATTTTGATTACTCGTAGTTCTTTGTTTTTTTCCTGCAGTTGAGAGGTTGTAGGGTGTTCTCAAAGATAGTGCATCCTCTGATCCTAAAAAGGCAGTATGTATTTGCTCTTTATTATTAAAACCTCTTTACTGTGAAAATTTGAAAGAATGTGGAATCTGAAACTGCTGCCTGGTGGCTGATTTCCATTCACTTAGGCCGGTAGATTCCTCTATTTTGACTCCATATTTATTCTCACAAGTAGTTTTATAGTCAATCATATATATGCTATATGGCACCAAGTAAGGCATGGATGGACCTAGTTGATGATCGTATTAGTGATGAATGTTTAGATGGAAACACCTCAAAAAAGATACTTATTTGGCTGGTGTTAAAAAGTTCCTAGACTATGCCTTCAGTAGGACTGGTGGGGATGTTGAAATCAAATGTCCACGTGTCAGATGTTGCAATACATACTCTAGGTCTCGTGAAGTAGTGTATTCTCATCTTAAAATCTTTGGAATCATAGAAAACTATAAATTTTGGTATCATCATAGAGAAGTTTCGGGTGAGGCTGAGTCAGATTCAGAAGTCGAAGAGCATCCTGATTCCTATGGAGCAACTGAAGAAGGTTATAATGGAATGGAGGAGCTACTAATGGATTTATTTCCCCAGCAAATTAATCGGCCAATTAATGAAGGTACATCACATACATCTCCAAACGAAGCATTTGAAGAACAGCCAAATGATGAAGCACAAAAGTTCTATAAACTCCTTGATGACTTGAACCAGCCTCTCCATGAAGGGTCTCGTACTTCCAAACTATCTGGTATAGTTAAATTGCTTAATACAAAGAATTTGGGGAAGTGGAGTAACAAGTCCTATACCATGTTAGTGGAATTAATCTGTAAGGGCTTCCTACCAGAAAACTCTACTTTGCCAAATTCTTATTACAAAGCAAAAAAAATCATGAAGAACCTAGGACTAAGTTACCAAAAATCGATGCTTGCAAAAATGATTGCATGCTGTACTTGGGAGATGATATAGGTGCTCAGTTTTGCAAAGTATGTGAAAGATCAAGATGGAAGAAAAGTAAGCACTCTGGTGAAGACATGGTGTCAACCAAAGGGAAGAAGATTGCAGAAAATACTATGCGATATTTTCCTATTACGCCAAGACTTCAGCGACTATATATGTGTAGGAAAATTGTATTTTTCTGTAGATGGCATATAGAGGGCAGGGTAGATGATGGTGTCATGCGCCATCCTGCTGATTCTAAAGCATGGAAACATTTTGATGAGACCCATCCTGATTTTAAATCTGAACCTCGCAATTTAAGGCTATGCCTTGCCGGTGATGGTTTCCAACCATTTTCTACCACTAAAACCTCATATAGCATTTGGCCTATATTCCTTGTTCCTCTCAATTTGCCACCTTGGCTATGCACAAAGCAGCAAAATATATTGCTTTCTGTGTTGATTTCTGGGCCAGATGGTCCTGGGGATGCAATTGATATTTACCTGCAACCATTGATTGATGAACTGATTGCGCTATGGGAGGACGGTGTTGACACCTATGATGCATCTACAAAGACTAATTTCAAGCTTCGAGCAGCCCTTCTTTGGATGGTTCATGACTTCCCAGCATATGGAAATCTATCTGGACATAGCACTAAGGGGCGGCTGGCTTGTCCTGTTTGTCAGAATAAAACTTGTTCATTGTGGTTATCAAAGGGTAAAAATT